GCTCCCATTTAAAGCTATATTCTGCTAGCGGTGGCGAGTACCCCCTCCTCCGCTTCGCGTAGGTGGAGCCCGCCACCGCTTGCCGCAGCAGCGAACACCCGCTGCAAGTGGGAAGGGGCCCTAACGGCTAGCGCGCTGCCGTTCTACTTTTTGAGCTCCGAGACTGGGACTCGAATCGCAGTACATGTGGAATTTAAGGCGGACAAAACCGATGGCGGAAGATTATCTGGGGATACCTCTCATTTCGCCTTTGTTCCATCGTAATTCCTTTTGTTTAATCACCTAACAGCTCTTTCACATTCATTCGCAGGTAGGGATATGTAGGATCATGTACTGAAATTATAATAAAATTAAAGCAAAATAAAATATAATATAGTGCCTCTGCCCTGCGCCATCATTTTAGTCTCCCGGATCCAAGATACAAGGGGCAGGAGCTAAACTGATGATTCGAGTGTGCTGTGGTTCGTTGAAGCAGAATGCAGATTCCAGGTGTAGAGGTTTGGCATTAGGCACAGGCGACGTCACGTTGACGATATTGATCCTGTTGTTATTGAATTGCAATTTGGGGAAACGTTGTTCACAATTACAGTGCACTGAATTGCATTGCACTTCATTCTTTCTTTTCTTCTTCTTCTTCTTCTTCTTCTTCTTCTTCTTCTTCTTCTTCTTCTTCGTCTTCTTCTTGTTCTTGTTCTTCTTCTTCTTCTTCTTCTTCTTCTTCTTCTTCTTCTTCTTTATATTATTAGACTACTGGCCTTTCATTTCATTTTTTTAAGAGTACTTTATTTTTGAGGACTTTCAATCTTTTACAATGCATTCGTTTTCCTCTTTGCACTTTTTTAACTTTATTCTAAGAATTTACAATTTGCAGGATTCACTTACTCAACTTCGTTTCTTAGAACGACAGATAGCATGAAACTCACATTACACACTAATCGTATTTCTCTAGATTAGAAGGCGTAAAAGCCTCTTTTATGTCTTTCTTGGAAGAAAAGCTTTGTCGTTTAGGTTACTTCGGCCACTGTACGGAGAAATGGTGTGTTTTTTTGTTGCAATTCAGAGATCTCTTACTTTCGAACACTGTCGTCATAAAGATTGCCGTCATGTTTAATAGATTTATTTTATACTTGACGGTAGCAAGAAACTTTTTATTCTTTTGCTTTTAATTTGGTAGGTGTTAAAACACAATTGTGAAGTTTTGACTTGCCAAATATTTTGAAAAATGTTGTTTAAAAGTGTCATTTATTGGTTTCATGTTCTTTTTTCTACTTTTTGTCGTTATCAAGAACGGAAATCTTATGAAGTAAATATTAAATTTGGTCTCGTCGCCTCTTAACGCAAATCCCAACTCAATTCAATTTGTTTTCTCAGAATGTTCGCTTGCGGAGATTCACGTTCTAACGATTCAAACGCAAGTAAATGTAATTACCGACTCTAAACGTTTAAACAGGATCCAGACGTCACGCGTCATTCAAAGGCTGTGCAGCTCTATTTATCGCGGAAATGAGCCGTTTAATTTGCCAAGCGCCCAAGAAGCTCGTTGGCCGCAACGCTCCATTGCCAGCCGGCGAGAAGCTCGACGACTGGCTGCGGAGGCGAAGGCAAGTGGCGCGCAAGGAAGGAAAGGGAACTGAATTTTTTAGAAAGAACACAATATTTGTTGACAAATTACTTGTTTATTTGCAATACCTAGGTATATCGTTTGTAAGATGCAATGCTGGCACAACTCGAAATGTCGGATTTTGAAATAAATAAGTTTGAAGTTTTTACCTTGTATAGAAATTCTTGTATTCACACTTCGACCATTTGTTGATGGAATAGTGAACTGATATGCCGTTGGAAAGAAGACCAATCTGCAATTCTGGAGATTTCATTAACTCAAAATTTGAATTTTCTAGTTGCGTCTCAATTGCAGCCCACAACCGGTAGTGTTACCGTCTGGATTGAAACAAATTGTTGACTATACCGTCTCCATACACGTTTTCAGAACCAATTCGCAGTATTTTTTGAATAAAACGTCATTTTTTAATTGACTATCACCAAATTCACTTCCATTTGGGGAATGAGGCGATCCATACGCTATAGGGCAGATGTATTTGAAAAGTGTTCATAGTAACTCATATTCATATTCAGCTTCGCTACAACAGGACGAACTTCTAACATTTGCGTGGGAAATATGTGAATGTGAACAGAAACCTATGCGTAAAATATCCAACGCGATACTAGAAAGGGGCAGTATTACAGCATTAGATCAATTCGCGTTAACACGCGCCCGAGAGGTCTCTTGAGCCACGAGGCGTTTTATGATAATCGTGTCGGGTTGTCGCATTTGTTGCGCGCTTCCTTATCGCACTTGCGGCATCGGAACCCGAGCGCATCTCTTTACGAGCACTCGGCGGCATGCTGCGCGGTTAACCGTTTCAGCCGTTGTTCCAATCGATGCCCTGCTCGCCTTCCTTCATTGTGGTGGTCGCACTGTAGCTATACTTTTCATCACGCGCCATTGAGCGATCGTGTTTATGAAGCCCTCCCATGGGTGGCTGCCCTTCATCCTGTAGCGATGTGTGTAATCACCTTTTATGAAAGTCCCCGGCGGTGAACTCCATCAAAATGCGGTCGGTGATCTGAGCGTGGCGTCACACAGCCCTGTCGAGGTTATATTGTGGGATTTGCCGACAGCGGCATAGACTGTGGGTCTGGCAAGTTCTCTATTCATGAATTCTTATCTCGATGATTATTTATTGGCGTTGCGTTTATCGCTCGTTAAAACAAAGCCAATTATTGGAGGTAATAAATAATGTATCCCTTTCTCTGTCAGCCTTATATTCGAACCGTTGCCCGCCTCCTCTGTTAGCTGCTAATGTTCTTCATTGTCGTCGATCTTTTTTTAGCCTAGCTGTTGAAAGCTTGCCTCGCCCGTTAGTTTTCACCTCGCTGCCGACAGCGTTCTTCAATTTTCTACACTTCCATTCCTGATTTCATTTTTTTTTTTCAGAACGCTCTTTGTTTTTATCTCTAATTGGAGGCCATTAGATAGAATGCCTTGCAGATTTTCTTGCCCAGTGAGCTTTATTTCTTGCCAATGTGCCTTTTGTTTTCCTCCCTGTGCAGTTCAGTTAATTGCTGTTGTCTAATCAAATGGAAACGTGTGAAAGCCGTTATAAACACTTTTGTAGCGTACATTTTTGTGCTATGTTAATAATATTTGCTTTAATGTTAATTTTTCTTAGTGGGAATTATTTTAGTTTCTATTTTGTAAGTAATTTTTGTTGAGAAATATTGTTCTTTTGACCTTCAGAACGCTCAGTTTCATGTTTAGTTTTTGGTCATTCCTTATTTGATACACATTTCTCTCTTAGTGTGACTTTTCCGAAGTGCAGTTTGGTAATTTACAAGTAATTTTATTACATTTCTGAATTACATAAATTCGTATTGCCTGATGCACTACTGTTATATATTATTATTTCAGTGAAATGTGCAGTTGTGAGTATACGTAACAATGGAAATTGGATATGTGAAAGTTATCATTGCTTTGTACTTTTGTGTGAAGTGTAGGCGGTAGTAACAAAACAAGAATAGAGGGTGGGGGTGTGACTGGAAAGCAATTGAAGTGCAAGACCAGGCGGTGTGCGATTAGCGGCAGAATGAGGCGGGTAGAATTATCGGTACAGAATGGGCAACGAGCGATGGAAATATATAAATATGAAAAGAAAGAGTGAAAGAAAGAAAGAAAGAGAGAGAGAGAGAGAGAGAGAGAGAGAGAGAGACAGAGAGAGGAGGGGGAAAATTACCATGTTAAGGAGAGATAGGAGACGAAACTCTGCGGAGAAGCGAGGGACATCCAGCAGGTAGCAGACAGCGGCGACGAGACCGGATAACAAGAGCGGCTGGCTCGCGAGGCAGCGCGTAGAGCAAGCAGCTGCCCGGGACGAGGTGCCGAAGGCGACGAGGAGCAGCGCGGGAGAACGGAGACCCTTTCACGCGGGGCGGGAGCTCGCGGGGGAGGGCGTGCGGCGCGTGGCGCGCCAGCAACGCACGGCGGCGCGGAGGGCAGACTGCGAGGACGCTGGCGCGAGTCTCATCCAAGCCTACCGACGCCCGCCCCGCCCCGCCCGCCCCGCCCGCCCCGCCCGCCCCGCCCGCCCGCCCGCCCGCCCCCCCCCGCCCCGCCCGCCCCGCCTCCTCCCCGCCGCTCTCCCGCCCCTGCCCGCCCGCCCCCGCCCCCTCTCGCCCGCCCGCCGTCTCCGCCCCGCCCCCCGCCCTCGCCTCCGCCCGCTACGCCCCGCCTCCGCCCCGCCCGCCCCCGCCCCGCCGCCCTCCCGCCCGCCCGCCCGCCGCCCCTCCGCCCTGGCTTCCTCCACTCCTGCTTTTTTGTGGGAGGGCTAAGAAAACGCCCCAGCGTAGCTACCTTAGACCTTTGCCTTCTGTCTTTTTTGTCTCTCACGTTCGTTACGCCATTTTACTTCCCTCTTCGCTTTCTTGGAAGTTTGCCTCCTCTCTTGTTTGGTACTCAGAGCTAGTCATTTGTATTGGGCCCTGCTACATACAGGCATTCTGTGCACTCCCAATACATTTCCCCTGCTATTTCATTTATTGTGTTGATTTTGCTGACGTGCTGTCAAAAATGTTCAGGTTCATCTGAACAGTCTTACTTTGAGTATAATAATAAAGTCTCCCTTGTTAGATTCTTTGCTGACAGAATCAGATTCTAAAGTAATTTTGTAAAGTAATTTGTTACTGGCCATTATCTTTTGTTGTAGGAATGATACACAATATGCAACTCCTTACCATTACTTACATATATTTGTTTTTCATTATTAAAGATCATTAGATCGGTTATGAATATTTCTGTTTCTTTCCTTATAACACTGCCATCAAATCTTTTCAAATAAGAAAATATTAATGTAGGCCTCTTGAGAATTTCTCTTCAGAATCTATCTTATGCATCCAATATTGCAGCAACGACTACTTCATACTTGTATTTTCTATATTGTATGCAGATGTTCTTTCGTTCGTGCAATATAGACCTTGTGGAACTCCGCACCACCACCCGTTTGCTCCTGGCGTATTTCTACCGCAGCGCTTTTCGCTTTCCCCTCCCACAACCTCGCCCTTCCAGCGCCCTTAATCCGCGCATTTGCTTTTCGTGTTGCCCACATGCGCAAGCAAGGTGCATCTTTGCACTCACCACCACCATCGTCAGCACCACCATCACCACCACCATCACTACTACCACAACCACCAACAACACCAATACCAATAACAATACCGTTATCAATACCACAACCACCACCACCACCACTGCCAACACCACCATCCCATCATCACCACTATCACTATTACCAATTCCACAAGTACTACTATCCCATGATCACTACCACTTCTACTGAACCCGGCGCCTTCTGCCGAACCTCCGCCTTCTACCGAACCTCTGCATCTGCGTACATCTCAATCTCCATTATTACACCGCGATTCCCACAGCCCCTGTCATCGCCCCCACCTCATTTACCTTCTTACCTTATCATCAACAAATACAAACATCTCATTACTTCCAAAACAATCATCCGTACTTTTTCAATTCTGAGATTCTTTTAGAATTTTTTGCAACTGAAAGTTGTCTTATCTATTTTTTAAAAAAGGAAATACGTAATAAAGAAGCTGTCGAATAAAGACCTCTCATCAAATGTGCGATTATTTTTCAAACTGATTTGAATTGGAAAGAATCATTTTTTAAGGAGCTAATCAGTGAATCGTGTAATTGGTCAAGAACTAAACACGAAGAGATAAATTAAATAATTTTTTGATATTTGAGTAAAATATATAATGAAACATTCTTATCCTGATCATTATTTTCAGTATCTTCCTAAAGCACCGTCACCTTCTTCCGGCACCACTGCTCACCTCCCATACTCTTTTATTGTCGCTCGCGACTTCTCTCCCGTTTCTGGCGTAGCACGGGCGACCGTCTCCGCTCCCTCTTCTGCCGCTGCCGAAATACCTCGGCTCGCGCCCCGGGCGCCGCACCGCGCCGGGCCGCCAATAAGCAAGGCATTTTAAGGGATCTCCCGGATTGTTGCAGCCGGTAGGAGGGCGCAGGCTTTCTGCCGTTGGCCTGCGGCAGCAGGAATGCATTGGCATTCGGAATGGAGTTGGGGAGGCAATCGTAGAACGAAGGAGGTAGAGTCGCGGCTCTGGAGGACCCCGGAAGTAGAGATACTCCCTTTTTGTAAGTAACAAAATGAAGACTTGCACTTGGAAGTAGCGATTAAAATCAGGATTGTTTTAGATGCGATGAGATTTTGTGGGCGTCGTCAGTGTGAGAGGAATTTCGATCTGAGTAATCAGCCACTGTGTAGCAAAGCAGTCGAAAAACGTTACTGTGATGTAGATGTAACATTTGTCCGAAACTAAAGTGTTGATTTTTTGGGAATATTGGATCTACGTACTGCAGAGAATTCTACTGTTAAGTGCGAATATTACAGTCGTTGTTTGTTTTGTGCATCATTAATCGCGTCTTAGATGTTCAATTGGTTTTGGCTATTGCATTTTCAATACCGGCAAGTATGGCGGAAACAATTTTGATGTGTGAATAGAAAATTCGGATGAGTTTGTTTTATGAAGGAAAAATTGTGAATTTAAATTTATTTCTTCTCAACTGCCTCTCAGAATACTCATGAGTAAGTACAATCTTTACAAAAATCACAGTCCATAGTGTTAATGTTTTACTCTATAGTTAATTATTGTTCTTCCTTTCTTTTTAAAATAGAAAGAGTGATGTTTGAATTAGTTATTTCTCAAATTTTAAAATTGCTTACTCTTCGAATTGTACTGAAAATATTTCTTAAAATCATTTAAAAAATAATAGTGTAAATTGAAGAAACGATCTGTGACTTGGATGATCACTCTTGAATGCAACGAGAAATGTTGAAAGACCCGAGAGAATCAAGCGAACCAATATTAAAAGCACATCTTTTTGTGGGAACAGACTTAAAAAATGAATCTAGTAACGAGTTTGCAACGGGAACTTTGTAGACCAGAAATACCTAGATTCGAATCCCGACGATGACGCAAGATACATGTGTTTAGAAATGGCGCTGCATGGATGAGAATTCTATTAACTGCTCTGATCAGTTCAGTATTAAGTGTTCTAATCGTGATCGATGTGCCCCAATCATTTGTGTGCTGATGGTGTAGGAGTACCTTTAACAACAGACCACCGACCGGGCGCAATTCTCCCTTCCTCATTGTGCTGCATTCCCTTTTCTAGGGCTGGGTCGATAATGTAATCCCCCATCCCCCCTGAGGTCGAAAGATTACGTCAGTACTCTTGCCTGTGAATATTGGGCCACCGCTCGACCTGGGTTTTAGTGCCTTTGCGGAGAGAGAGAAACACCTTTCCTATGAAAAAAAGAATCCGCCAGGTATTGCGCAAAGCGGTCGGTTTCGTAGCGAGCAATAGGAAAGGAGCTCCGACGACTGACGGTGGCGGTTAAGAAGACGCCGGGTGGGCTGTGCGGGGAGAGAGCGGAGAGTGGAGTGGGACGGCAAAAGCAGGGGGCGGGGCAAGCGCAGGGCGCGGGGCCGGCGCGGGGCGGCGCGGGCCGGGCGCGGGGCGGCGCGGGGCGGCGCGGGGCGGCGAGGGGCCGCAGGTGTGGGAGGCGGCACAGCGCCGCCGCTCTCTTTTGGCCCGTCTGAGGCAGGGAGGACGCCCTCGAATTTTTCTACGCCTGCCCCGCTCTGTTTCGCTCCGCGCGCGCGACACGCCGGCGGTCGCCGAAAAAACAAGTTGGCGGGCAAGCGTGCCTGAGAGTGGGGCTGCGCGGGTTAATGCTTCATGTAACGAACTTGCTCTTCCCTCAATTGGGCATAATGTCTTAACTTGTTTCGCGCGTTTGGTTTCTTTTTTCACTTACGTCTTCCTGGCAGCCGTTTCCGTCAGCGTTATCTTTATTTTATTAAAAAGCATGTTTGAAAAGATTTAATATAATTCCAGAGAAGTATGAGTGCAGGATACTTTGGCAGTCCTCATGATCATCAAATACGTTTATTTCCAGTATTATTATATTCTATTATTCTATTAGTATTTTGTCAATTCGGTTTGCACGAAAATTGTTAATGTGTGTTTTGATAATCATGTTAATGACATTTTTGTCAAGAACTCCAGAAATTATGTTTCAAGCGAAAGGTTAGAGTTAAGAAATTATTTTAAATATACTTATCTACAGGAAGTTGGTAGAGTTTCTGGCGAAAGTTCAGCTTTTCTAGGCGGTTTCTTCACATTGATTCTCGTTGAAGTATTCGACCAAGGAGAGGACAATACAGATACGCTATTTATACGAAATGTCATGTAGACTCCTTCAGAATTAACAGTACTTTACGATAACAAAATTTGAATTTGTTGGATGAGAATAGATGCCTAGTTGCATTGAACTTTGAAACGGTTCTTATCTAAAATTTTGGAATGACATATTGATCGTGCCCAAGAAGTGACACATATAAAAACTGGTCATTTTACAAGAAGAATGGTTTCAATTCGAGCGATGACTTTTATTTCTCGCCAAAGACAAATTCTGTTACTTTATATACAAGCTGGCTTGTAAACTATCTTTGAAATGTTTACTAGAAAGGTAAATTATTTTCTAAACATTTTAAACATTTTTGTAAACATTTATGACTTTTGAAATGTTTCACTTTTGTCGACGATAAGTCAACATTTGCTTATTGAGGAAAGGAGAGCTGAGGTCTGTGCATGGTTCCAGTAATGTCAGTATGTTTTCCAAATCATAGTGACCGGTATGATTCTGGCCCTGGGGAAATCTGGCAGCCAATTCACTGAACGCGACGACGAGTTCTTAATTAAGCACTTGGAGTTTTATTTTAAAATTCTCTTTCTTCGTGTCGTCAAAATGATGTCACATTCTTTAATATCTAAATACTCGCATAGAGTGGCGTCTCCAGCAGGTATTTTCATGAAAAAAAAAATTGTGCTTTGAAAGTGGATAATAAAAATTAAATTTTAAACATGCCCGACTCGTCAGTTTTTAAGAATAGTTACATAAATAGTATAGTTTAAAATACTTGTTTAATATTATATTTATTTATAAAATTTAATTTAATTATTATCAATTTGATGAATCAAGACGTAACAATTAATGCAAATAAAGAGAATAAATAGTAAACACTGCATTTCAACATTTTACTCTTAGGTGCTTTGAAACCATCAACAACATGTATTTTCCTAGAATTCTTCTAGAATATCCTACAAGGAACCGGCTGAAATTGTGCCATTCGCATAATCTCGTCGTGAGGAATGCGAAAACACGGTTTTTAGAAAAAATTCTTAGAATCTGATGGAGTTGAAAAAATGATCATCCGGAGAATTACACATTTGTCTCGATTGATGGACAGGAGGAATAACTATGAATGAAGGACGGACGAACCGACGAATGGATGGACGGATTGAAGGAAAAACAAACCCACGGACGGATGGGTTGAAGGAAGAACAAACCGACGGACGGACGGACGGACAGACAGACCAGACAGACAGACAGACACACTTTACTCGATTACTATATAAGGAATTCTAGGTTTTGCCTGACTGAAGATCTTAAATTACATTGAATACTCTCACTCATAACCACTTTGCCTCTCTTTAGGTTCAGTCCAAATGCCATTCAGATGATATTTCGAACTTCACTTGTTGCAGATAACATTTGAGAGAGATTGACTTCATTTATGGCAGACAATTTAAGATAATTCACATAAAAGAAATGCGCTAGTGATCTTTTCATCATCATCAAGCTTCTAACTGAAGATAGCTGGTTAACTATGTCTAGTTAGTTAGACCAAATGAATGCAATGCAGAGGAAGGAATGGTGATTCTCATTAAAAAGTCGCAACGTTAATCTGAATATTTCTTCTTCTCTATTATTATTATTATTATTATTATTATTATTATTATTATTATTATTATTATTATTATTATTGTCGTATTGGCCTTTACTGACCAAGCTACACAATTAACGTGTGTAATATTTCCAGGATCAGCTTTTCACCTGTATTCCGTAGTAAGTCAAGGTTGTTACGCCTTGAAGTGTGAATTATGACATGATAGGATGATATGTGAAGGGACAATCACAAATACGACCATGTCAACGCAGGGCTCGAAATATATTCGCAGTTTTAATCGGTTTTGTCTTTTTCCTTTCTTTCTTTAGAGGAGCATCACTTCTTCCATTTGATCGTTTTGAGTTAAGTCGTTCTAGATAATTGTCCTTTCTTACACGTACATTTGACAAGACAGCATATCACCAATTGGTACATGTATGTCATTTGTATCAACATTTCACTGAGTTCTTTCTGAAAATAATTTTGTTTGATGTTTGTCTGTGTGTGTGTGTGTGTGTAAGAATACAGCCTTAACCGCTACGAAGTATATGGAGTCTGTGTTTTTTTACCGCTGCCTTCAGATAACGAATGCACATTCACTGCATTAGTAATGTGTCTCATTTGGGCGTCTCATGTGTGTTTAAACGTGTATCTCGAGGGGTTCTTCGTCTATAACGTCATGTCGCTGATGTCGTTTGGCATGATATCTTCTTGTAGCGCAACCGTTGCGCCGTTACGCCCGTCCGCGCCCATATTTCCAACATAATAGCGCACTTCGTCTCTGCGTAATGTTCTCCTTTTTCGCCGTGGCCATTAGTGAAGGAGTATTAAATCTGTTGGGTTTGACTGCCAGCGTAACGCAATTGGCTGTGATTTCGAATCGAAATTGGCTGTCATTCGCAGCGAGCGGTTAAAACGTAATATTTTGATGGAACTCAAATTCACCTTTAGTCTCGATGTGCGCATCCCATTATCAGAATTTCTGTCTGTGTGATATTGTTTTTTTATATTAAAAATATATTGGATGAGTAGTAAACTGACAAAGTTCAAGAAGTCACAAGTCATTATACATTGAATAATAACGGATAGGTGTATAACAAAAACATTGTTATGGAATATTTAATTATTTATGTCTATAATTAAATTGATAGTTTTTTATGTTTTTCACGAAAATTAATTTTAGAAAGAGGCAACTTCCTGAGATATATTTTCAAGAAGAGTAATTTTTTCCATTTTCTATTTATTTCATTGTATTTGAGAGAATCGTTATAGTGTCGAAAATACAGTAATATAAGTATATTAATTAATATATTTAATTAATTTGAAACATTTTAAAATGACTGCTGACCTTATCAATCAAATATAAGAAAGAAGAATCAAGAAAATATAATAAAAATAAAATTAAACAGTGTAAGTCCGGGTGGGCTGGGAATGATAGGTCCACTATATATGAAAAGCAAACTGTCCTGATGTTTACTGATATTACGAAAATCAAATGGAAATTGTTCAAATTAAAAGCAGAATAGAAACTTTAGCCGTTCATACAAACGACAAGACGAATTAATTGCACTTTATATCCATCATTAATATAATTTTATCACCATCATTAGTATACTTTTATTTTCCCACACGGTGTCTGCCGCGGTCTGTGCCATGTCTGGTCTGGCCGCCCCATCCAGCACCGCTCGGGCGCCAACACGCGTTGCCCCCGCTAATGCATCGGCTGCGCTTCGCGACGGCCGCCGCCGCTAGCGCACTCTGGCGCCGCGCCGCGCCGCCCCGCCCCGCCCCGCCCCGCTCCTCTCCCGCGGAGCCAGCCATTTATTGCCAAATAAAAGGCATTAACGTTCGCTTTAACAACTCAATAACTTTTTTCCCCGTATGATATACGGCGCTATTTTTAAAGCCGTTTCGCGCATACCTATCGCTGCCAGCGCTCGCCGCTTCGCTCTGACCCGGGCCGACCACGGCGCCCGCCAGCCCGACCTGGTTTTAGCAGCGTGTCCTCTAATGAGCCTTCTACAGTCTCGTTCTAAATTGTCTTCAGATCTCTCAGAGTCAGGTGCGTTACAGTATGATGTACGTTGCTGCCGAATCTTGCGAGACCATAGTACGTGTATTGTTAGGAGGGAATTACAACGACGCCCCCTTCCTCACTAGGTTCAAAAACGTTTGATTTTCACTGCCAGAGGTCGTCATATGAGCGCTATGAAGAGGAAGCCTTGGAGTGGTGTCCCTGCGGAAACGGCGAAGGTGGCGCGTTTAACAGTGAGAGGTGACGCGTCTTAACGTTGCGGGGCACACACTGCAATTCTGTTCGAATTTTTGGGCGCGTGTCGTCTGAAGTGTCACACGCTGTACGTTATGAATATATTATAACGCGACAGCAAAATGCCCGTTTATGAGGATAACATTATTATATACATTATTTCGTGAGGCATCTAGTTTCAAAACCATGGGGGATTTCCAAGTTTCTGTTTGCAGAAAGGTCTTGTTTAACACAAAATTCACCTTGCAAATCCGAAAGCAATTGAAGTAAAAGTTATGCACAAAGGAAGCATCTCACAAAATAACAATATTTGAGAAAGTGGTTGTAGGAAAGAGTCGAACTTACGTTTTGTAATGTTTAACTAATCCTCATATACGTCTGTATGGATAATACTCGTACAACAGCTGGAACCAACTCTCATCACGGATTTCCCGTGCATAACATTTTAGAATATGTACAATCTCTGTATCTCAGTTACATGCCATGTGGGGT